ATTTATTGTAGAGATGAGGTCTCGCCAAGTTGTCCAGGAGGGTCTTGAACCCGCGGGCTCAGGCAATCCACTCATCTCAGCCTCTTAAGGTGCGGGATTACAGGCTAGCCACTGAGCCCGGCTTAAACTTTCAACTGGATTATAAATTTGAGGACAAAAGTCTTCATATTTTTGTTCTCTCCTTTCATTTTAGAATATCTAGTACAATTTTGTGCATGTAGTACGTTAGATAAATTTTTTTTTTTTTTTTTTGAGTTGGAGTCTCACTCTGTCGCTCAGACTGGAGTGCAGTGGCCGCTCCCGGCCACCGCAGCCTCGACCTGCTGGACTCCGGCGATCCTTCCACCTCAGCCTTCCAAGTAGCTGGAATTACAGGCATGCGCTACCACGCCCAGCCGATTTTTTTTTTTTATTTATTGTAGAGATGAGGTCTCGCTGCCCAGGCGGGTCTCGAACCCGCGGGCTCCGGCAATCCACTCACCTCAGCCTCCCAAAGGCGCGGGATTACAGGCTGAGCCACCGAGCCTGGCTACGTTAGATAAATTTTAAATAAAAACTCTGAGGCATAAGAACAGAAGAGTAGCTGTTTACCCTCACTGGAGGCTCTTTGAAATAGGCTGGGATGTAGGAAGGGAGAAAGCCCCATGCTATTCTAGTTTCCTTCCTCTGGGTAAAAAGTGCTCCAAAGCCATAGTCACAGTTCCTCTCCTTTTTCTACCCTTATTGCTTGCTTGTTTTCACTTCCTTCTTTTCTCCTAATGAATAGGTTTGGGCTAGGGTTTAATGAAAGTGAAGAGGATCATTTCAATTTATCTTTTATCACTTGAAGTCCTAGCCAGAGGTTTATAGCTGGGATAACCTGTGTTGGACTAGCTTATTCTAGGCTCATTCTATCCCTCACCTACCCTAGAATTCTGCTGGCCATTAGTGGCCATGTTTTGTTTCTAGAATTCAGATTCTAGGCATAGTAACATTCTTTTGCTAATACCCTCTTTTCCCCCAGGTGCAGGAGTAGCCCTTTTGAATGACCATATATATGTGGTGGGGGGATTTGATGGTACGGCCCACCTTTCTTCTGTTGAAGCATACAACATTCGCACTGATTCCTGGACAACTGTCACAAGTATGACTACTCCACGATGCTATGTAGGGGCCACAGTACTTCGAGGAAGACTCTATGCAATTGCAGGGTGAGGATTTAGAAACCTGGTCAGACTCATCATGTATACAGGACAGGAGTCTGTGTAATCTCCATTTTGGGACAGAGACAGAGTTGGGTAGGGGTAGACATTTCCAGTGGCATCTTTAATGAAGGACTTATATGGAAAGGAATAGAAAGCTCATTTCTTATTTATTTTTTATTTTATTTTTGAGTTGGAGTCTCACTCTATGTCCCAGGCTGGAATGTAGTGGCACCCTCACAGCCACCCCAGCGTCGACCTGCTGGGCTCCAGTGATCCTTCTGCCTCAGCCTTCCAAGTAGCTGGAATTACAGGCACATGCTACCATGCCCAGCTAATTTTTTATTTATTGTAGAGACCAGGTCCCACCAAGTTGCCCAGGCTGGTCTCGAACCCGCGGGCTCTGGCAGTCCACTCATCTCAGCCTCCCAAATTGCTGGGATTACAGGCTGAGCCACCAAACCTGGCCTCTTTTTTCTTTTTATGTTACTGAGATGAGGGTCTCACTATATTGCCCGTTTGTCCCAAACTCCTGGGCTCAAACAGTCCTCCTGCCTCAGCCTCCCAAGTAGCTGGGATTACAGGCACGTACTGCCATGCCCAGCTAACTCATTTCTTTCTTTTGCTTCTTTCTCAGATATGATGGTAATTCCCTGCTGAGTAGCATTGAATGCTATGACCCTATCATCGATAGCTGGGAAGTAGTGACATCCATGGGAACCCAGCGCTGTGATGCTGGTGTGTGTGTTCTCCGAGAGAAGTGACCATTATTGGAGCACCATCCAGAGCAAGTGACCAGTCCAAGGGACAGTTTGTGGGAGAATCAAGCATCCTTTCCAGAATGTCTGTGTCTCACTGCACAGGGTGATTACAGGCACCAGTGCAGGGATGATTGTACTTATTTGACACATCCTCCCCTTAACGCTGGTTGTCCCTGAGAAGGGTGTCTAACAGATACCCAAGGGAAGAGAATGCACGTTGAATGGATGTGAGAGACCAGATCACCTTTCCCTCTGTTCTGGGGAGCACTTTCTTGTTGTTTCTAACTTATCATGTGCTTGGGAGTCTACATATGTTGTGCCGCATGTGTTGCAGCGAACTAAGGTGAGTATAGCCTACTAGATGTGGGCAATATCCAGCCTAGATGATTGGAAGGATATGAAGTTGAGTAAGCTTGCAAAAATCCATCTTGTTGTTTTCCAGGAACAAATACCTTTTCTAATGTACAAGTAGCAACACAGTTCCATTCTGGAGGAAAACAAAAGGGAGAGCCCCATCAAAACTTTGGGGGCCAAGGAGAGATATTCATCTGATACTCCCTTGGGGGGTGGGTACAGGGCTGGTATACTAGAAATGAGGTTAGAGTAAGTGAAGTAAACTGAATTTGATGGAATGCAAGTGAACCTAGAACAGCACTGGAGTATAACCTGGAAGACTGAGAAGGGTATATTGTTTGAGAGATCTTTTTATTTCCCCAAGGTGTTTCAAAAAGAGAATGTTACGCATTTTGGCATTAAAGACTGAGAAAGTAACAAGAGTGAACAAAAGTTGGGGAGAGAGGAGCTGGCATAAATGTGGGAGCTCAGTATAACTGGGGATAAACTAGAAGTACCTGTGATGTTACAGTCGTCTTATTCCCTGCCAGGGCTCATGTAGCCATGGCAATGTTGTCTCGAATGGCAAAACTTTCTTTGTTGAATCAAATACTACTACACCATTACACTTCCACACTATTTATTTGGGGATGGGTTGGGGGTGACAGCAGCCTAATAGTTCAGCTACCTGATTACTGCCTCATTCCTTTTGGGGCATTACCACTAAGGAGTGGCTTATACTGCAGTGTTTGGTACATGTAGTGTTTTTTCTGCTATAAGTTTCCCTTACCTGTCCTTGGAGTGAATTTTATTTATCCTAGTACAAAATAAGCAAGGACAACCAAAATTATTTTGTTAATTCCAGTACCTCTGCTGTCAACATTTCTGAGCTACCATTCAAGCCTCTTCTGTGTCATGGAGTGAAATTCATGTTTTATGGGCATTGGGAGCATGGGAACATAATAATCTAAACAAGGGTATATTAATACTTTCCCTTTGCTCTGAAATTCCATTTTTTCCTCTTTCTCTGAATTGTATTGACCTACAGAGTTAATTTCCTTTGTATTTTTTTTTTAAATATTAAAAATCTACTGTCTCAAGTGCCTTCAAGAGAGTTTATGACCAACTAGCACTTCCTTAAGCAGTTATTTTGGGGGATAAGCATAAGGATCAGCTGTACATCCTACCTCATCAACCTGTTCACCTTGTGTGTTCGCCAACTAGTTCTATTTCTCTGTTAGACACGGGTAAGGGGTGTCTAGCAGAGAAACAGCAGAACTAGTAACTCTAAGAGTTACTTGAAAACCAAAGGAAAAGACTGGAAAGAGATGATCCTTAGCACTCAGTTGGGTATTAGGGTTTCAGTCACCCAGTTCTTCCATTTCCTTCAATTTATGGTGTGTGATAGAAACAGTAATGCAGAAGGTCTACAAAACTGCAAAAATCTTGATGCTTCTAGAGCGAAAGGAAGGAAGAGTCACAAGGGGAAGTTATTTTTTCCTTTTTTTTTTTTTTGAGTTGGAGTCTCACTCTGTCACCCAGACTGGAGTGCAGTGGCCGCTCCCAGCCACCGCAGCCTTGACCTGCTGGGCTCTGGCGATCCTTCCGCCTCAGCCTTCCAAGTAGCTGGAACTACAGGCACGCGCTGCCACACCCAGCTAATGATTTTATTGTAGAGATGAGGTCTTGCCAAGTTGCCCAGGCGGGTCTCGCACCCGCGGGCTCAGGCAATCCACTCACCTCAGCCTCCCAAAGCACGGGATTACTGGCTGAGCCACCGAGCCCGGCTGGAAGTTATTTTTTCTAATGGTGCCTGCCAGCCTTCTTTAGCAGGTGGATTGTGCCTGCGAAAATTAAACCACATCCCATGAAATATGTGGCTCCTCCTGTCTCAGGAAGAGATCCAGAGGAGGGTAAATGGGAAGCAGATACATGGGGGATAAAAGACTGATGGCTTTTAGGTTGTCTTCAATTCTGACTTCTGAGTTTCAGACCAAATGCACAAATAGTTCATACCCTGTAGCCAGAACAGAATCTTCTGCAGAAAGATCAACAATGTAAAACTCATAGCTCCTTTTTTACTTTCCCCAATATTACACTCTTTTTATTTTTTTATTTTTATTTTTTGAGTTGGAATCTCACCCCTTCCACCTCACCCTTCCAAGTAGCCGGAACTACAGGCATGTGCTACCATGCCAGGCTAATTTTTTGATTCATTGTAGAGATGAGGTCTCGCCAAGTTGCCCAGGATGGTCTTGAACCCGTGGACTCAGGCAGTCCTCTCACCTTGGCCTCCCAAAGTGCTGGGATTATAACTTTGAGCCACCACGCCTGGCCCACACTTTCACATGTTCATACACATACACAGAGATAACTCTAAATGTATGGTTCATCCTTTTTTTCTAGCTCCATAACTGGCAACCAGCCACTAGTTACCTAACCTAGGAAAACTATCATTTATTTTTTGTCACCTCCCGCATCACAATACAGACATCCATTAGTTTCTAAGTTCTATACAATTTTATCTTTAATTATTCAAAATCTATTCCCATATCTTCATTCCCTCTGCTACCAGATAGTTCAGGCCTTTATATCTTGGCTGGACTCATGAGGTAATAGCCTTCTGATAGCCTTACTCCTATTCTTTTCCTCTTCAAATCCAGCCTCTCCATTTTGGCATAAGCTATCTTTCTAGAGCACAGATAGGATCATTATGGTACTTAACATACAGTAGATAGTAAATATTGAACAGTTATTTCTGGCCTAAAATTCCATAGATTTCCAATGTTCATATTCTAATTTTAAAATTTCTTAGCATTACATTAGATCTATGGTGATCTAGGCCTATTCTACCTTTCTAAATTTCCGTCTACTACCACTTCTTTCCCCAGGCATAATGTGGTTCATTCAGTCACAGTGGTCTACCAACCATTACTAAGTTTTTTTTTTTTTTTTGAGTTGGAGTCTCACTCTGTCGCCCAGACTGGAGTGCAGTGACCGCTACCGGCCACTGCAGCCTCGACCTGCTGGGCTCCAGCGATCCTTCCACCTCAGCCTTTCAAGTAACTGGAA